TCTGATTGGAGCAGGATCTACCGATAAACATCTTTCGCAATTTTTTACGACTGATTCAATGTCTTTTCTACAAACTTTCTCCTTCGGATATGTCTGTTTCATCATATAAAGGGTTCGATTTACTCCAAAGTGATGAAGATTATGAAACAATTTCACATCAAGCGGTACGAGATTTGCTGTCATTGCAGAATGGTTTGAATGCATTCAATTCTGTGGTACCCTCGTAAGAGCATCGATTTTATTTTCTGCTGACTTAACCAGGAAAAGTTTTAATTGTATACCGCACTCTTTCACAAGGTCTTTAATTAACGACAACCGGCGACGGACAAGTGGTTCTCCAAGACCGTGTACTCGAATGGGTTTGTCACCAATGATTAAGGATTTCAACCAGCCAACAACAGTAGCCGAGTCACACTTTATGGTAATACATTCGAATCCCCATGTTGTTGCTAGATTGATTCCTTTTATCACAGCTTCAACTCTGCGAGATTAATGTGAGCCGCATCATCTTGTTTTCTCAGCCACGAGCACTATTTCCTTAGCCACTTCCAGAACTATGCCAACGGCTAAACTGCTTGCATCGCACCACACTGTTGCTTCAGAAGTGTTTTTTACGTTCCATAACCCATGAACAGGATCTTCCTTTGTAAGTCTTATATTTAAACTGATTACTAATTTGACAACACGATCGTTCACCAAAGTGTCCGATCCACAACTACTCGAAACCCTTTTTAGATAGTTGCACGAAGGGTGCAACCAATTTGCTATTGGAAAATGTCCAGTCAGCTGTCCGCACCAAGAAAAGATTTGCTGACGCCTCATTTTTCCTTCAGGAACTTTGGGTATGTTGTCACGTTTCCAACGCACTTGGTTGCATTGTTTGTACACTCACAATCCAAGCACACGCCTACCAACAAGTTTTTCTGGCAGCTTAGAATTCAAGCCATATTTTTTCAAGAGTTCTTGAACTCTGCAACTTGACACTATGTTATTATTGACAATGACGTCATCAATAAATGAATCCGTCCCAGACTCGACAACTTTGTCTAAAGATAATACCTTTTTTAAGATTTTTGTCATCATTCTGGGCGCCACATTTAAACCAAAACCCAATTTTGTTAGACAGTATCGCTGCCCTTCATATTCCACAACTTGATATTTCCATAATGCTTCGTCAACACGAATCTGCAGGTACGCTTTTTTTGAATCGATTATCTCAAGATTTTCTCTCAACTTTCTCCAGTTGCAAAGTTTGGTACTGCAAACATCGCCATCTGCAGTATGACTGGATACAAATTAATTCAGCTCCCGGTAGTCCATCACCGGACGTGCTTTTAATTTGTTTCGTTGAATTACTGACGTAAACAGAATGATACCATTACATTTCTTTTCAAACGGTTTCAGTCATCCCTGTGCTATCCATTCACTTATTTCCATTGCGTACTCATTTTTAACGTCTCCAGAGATGTGATAGTTTGGAATTTTTTTTGTTAAAGTTGGTGGTTCCATCTGCCATTTTTGAATTCTGCTACGAAGTCTTTATCAATCAGCTTTTGAACAACTTAAACACCTACGAGCAATCGTATTGCGTCCATACCAAGTAGCATTTGATATTCGGGAACAATGTTGGCAACCAGGCATTCCAAATCGATGGTGGTATCATTTATAGAAAGATCAACAATCCCGACTTAAAATTGATATGGAGCATCCAGTATCTAACAATGCTTTTATTTTTCTTCCATTGACATATACGCAGAGAGTTAGCGGTTTTAAATTTTGCGGAAAGCCGCACACACAAAAACGGGTGGCTTCCTTCCAACGTTTTTTGAGTTCGTACACCTTTTCTAGCAGTGCTGAGCCAGGTGATTGTCCATTCCACACAAAAAACACCTCTTCTTCTCAATTTCTTTGCTGCAGTTTTGACTGATATGTCCATCCTCACCGCAACGGTAGCACCTTATGGTCTTTTTTCCGCGTCCTTTAGGAACCTGTGTCTTGAACTAATGGCAACTGGATTCACGCAACTGACAAAACACGATTCTTTGCGATGTAAAATTACCAAACTTCTGGAGTTTTCAGCGATCTGGCACAGCGACATTGTTGATATTGAGCATGCAGTTTGCAGCTGTTTTCTTGCTTCGTCAGGTAATCCAAGAATAAATGCACACCTTATCTACTCTTCGCTTACGTGAGATGATGTTAGCTTGCTCAGTCTTGTTAATTCTGCGAGATTTAAGTCAATGGACTCATTCTCTTTAAGACGGCGATTTACGAGCTCTTCGTATGCTATTAGCGGAGAAGCAGAGAAGGTAGTAGTCAGTGCAGTTTTCACTTCATTATAGTCTTCTTTTATCTCATCACTTAGACCTTGATAAACGGCAAACGCCCCGCCAGAAAGAAATAAGGAGAGCACTACATGCAGCTCGTCAACTTTTTGAAGTTTTGCTACCAGTTCCAATTTCGGTATCCATTCTAAAAAATGACCCGAACCATCGTATTGTGATACCAGATCCGCAAACTTTATAAAGATACTCATTGTCGAAGTAGCTTGTAATAATAAATATATATTTGTTTTTTCTTACTGTCTTTCTGAATATCTTTACTCAATATATATACATTTGTAAATACCCCCGAGAGTATAATAAACAGTATAAACGTTATGTACAATATAATATATACGACGCGCCCACAACATTCCTTATATATATATATATATATATATATATATATATAATATATATATATATATATATATATATATATACATATATAATATATGTATATATATGTATATATATATATATATATATATATATATATATATATATATATATATATATATATATATATATATATATATATATATATATATATGTATATATATATATATATATATATATATATATATATATATATATATATATATATATATATATATATATATATATATATATATATATATATATATATATATATATATATATATATATATATGTATATATATATTTTAATAAAAAAGCTAGAGAGCTATGGTATAAAAGATAAAACCCTAAATTGGTTCAAAAGCTATTAAAGTAACCGCAACCAATTTGTTTATAACAAAGAGTCTTCATCGCAAATAATAAAAAATGTAACATGCGGTGTCCGCCAAGGGTCCATACTTGGACCACTATTATTTCTATTATACATAAATGATCTTTACAAAGCTTCTACCCTAACGACCGTAAATTTTGCAGATGATACGAATTTATTTCAGTCGCACGAAAACATAGAAATACTTTTTAATAATATGAATAATGAATTAAAAAAAATATCATATTGGTTTAGAAAAAATAAATTGTCCTTGAATACGGATAAAACAAAGTTTATACTTTTTCACCCAACCTCTAAAAAAAAGAGAATCCAAAATATCTTACCTGACCTATTCATTGACAATACAATCATAAAAAGAGAAAAATTTACAAAATTTTTAGGAGTCATAATAGATGAAAACTCATCTTGGAGTCAGCAAATTGATAGTATTTCAATGAAAGTTGCTAAAAACATTGGAGTTCTATACAAAGCTCGATATATATTAAATAAAAAGCAACTAACTCAACTATATTATTCATTTATTCATTGCCATATAAACTATGCCAATATTATATGGGGAAGCGCTCACAAAACCAAACTTAAATCTCTCTATCGGCATCAGAAACACGCAGCTCGCATAATTAATTTTGGAAATCGTTTTTCAAGCTCAACACCACTTCTTATAGAAATGAAAGCTTTAAATATATACGAACTAAATATTTTTAATATTTTATGTTTTATGTTTAAATGTAAAGAAAATTTATCTCCAAGTGTATTTATAAATCTCTATAATTTGAAACCAAAAAACAAATATGAACTTCGTGATAGTAAAAATATTCAAGAGCCGTTTTGCAAAACAAAAATTGACCAGTTTTGTATTTCGTGGTCCATTTTTTTGGAATAAAATAGTTTTATCTAACTTTGATTTTTCTTTTAAATGGTCTTATTCCTCCTTTAAAAAGAAAACAAAAGAAATAATCTTTTCAACACAAAATATATTTATTTATTTTTAGTATTTCAAGTTATTTGATATTTTTGTCGACTGTGTGATGAATATTATTTAAACAATATATGCTGAATACTTTATATTATAATATTGTTCAATATTGAGAATGTTATATATCCATATTATAAAATATTATGTTAAAACTTGCTTAACATCTGAAGAATATTCTAACGCTTATGTAATTTTTAATATTTGTAAATTTTCTACCTTTTAATTCGTTATATAGATTGTAAAGGGCTTCATGATAAGATCATGTGATCTTCTGGAAGTCCTACCAGTAATATATTCAATGTAAATTTACCTTGTTCATATTTTTCTGGAAAAAAAAACTTGTTAAATTAAATATATATATCTATATATATGATATTTGTATATATATATATATATATATATATATATATATATATATATATATATATATATATATATATATATATATATATATATATATATATATATATGTATATATATATATATATATATATATATATATATATATATATATATATATATATATATATATATATATATATATATATATATATATATATATATATATATATGTATGTATATAATATATATATATATAACAAATATATATATATAACAAATATAATATATATATATATATATATATATATATATATATATATATATATATACATATATATATATATATATATATATATATATATATATATATATATATATATTCTATAGAATATATATATATATATATATATATATATATATATATATATATATATACATTTAAAAAGAATATTAGTACTTGATTGTTTAAGTTAAACTAGTAAGAATAAAAGTCAGTTGATAACTAAATATTGACATATAAAATAGTTTAATCGCATTATAGTGTTAAGAATTTTATTACTCCATAGAAGTTTGCTTCACAAGAAGTATTTACGCATTTTAAAAATAAAGAAATGTTTTATTTTCAAGTAATTTAGAAGAAAGAGTCTTAAAAGACATTAAATGACAAGCGGTAAAAAACATTCAAATATCGAATTTAACAGTTACTATTAAGTCGTAAGATGTGTAACGAGAATTGTAATCAAGTTTGTGTTAAGAAGCTTTTAAAATGTAGAAAATAAAATAAAACCCGTCAGAACTTTTTTAATGTGAACTATTTTTTTTTTTGTCAAAGCAGATTAGGATGCTCCTACTAAGTTATTTATTTATAAGGCATGACTAATTTAAAAAAATACTCAAGATTCGGTTTTAAAAATAACAGTTGTTTTCACGTCATGAATAATAGAGTAAAAATATTGTTTCATTGAAAAAAGCGTAGTACAGAGATTGAGTATGTGCGGAAATTTTGCTAATTTAGTATTTTTAATATGAAGCTTAGAGATGGGAAAGATTACAATGATACAAGTGTTTATACTGAAGTAGATAGTAAGCCTGATTTTCTTCTATGTAACTTTCATAAAGATTCTCAGTCGAAAGTATCGTTATCGTTTTTGGACCATCAAAAAAAACAAAGTTTTTCTGATCAAAGAATTTCTCATAAAAATATTCGCGACTTTAAAGAACTTTCACACAAGCATGTTAAAACCTACAACGATGAGTTTAAAAATTTGCTTGTACAAAAGTCTGTCGAGACGTTTAGTATAACTCAGACAAACAAGATCTCTGAAGATTTTTCTAATCTTGTTGATGGCAATGAAGATAAAACAGTTTTTACATCAACTCCTTTACATTCAAAATTTAACTGTTCAAATAGAATTAAAAAGCTGAGCATACAGTCAAATATTGCGTCTGTAGATTATAATTATGGATATTTCCAAGCTTTAAATTTTAAAACTAAAAATAAATGTGAAGAGAATAGTTTAGAAGACTATGTTTTTCATGATATTTCACCAACAAAAATATCTAGTTTCTCAATAAATAAAACTGAAAAATTGAATTCAGATTCATCACATAAATCTAGTGGTTATATGACATATGGAAACGAGTCACTAAAAGAAAATTGTGACATTGATTTTGACCATTCTTTTAACCATGTTCAGCGAAGTTATTTTAGACAGAGGCGAAGGGAGTGGTATTTAAATAGATACAAAAATGTTTGTAATACATATACTCCACACTTCTATGCATTCTACAAATGGCAGTATATTTTCTTTAAGTTGTTTATATCAACTATGATTCAAATATATAACACTATTAGTGTCAATTTGCAGAACATTATTTCAAAATCGTGCTTGTATTTTCATTCCATTTCTAAAAACTATATAAACTCACGTTTTCAGCATAATTCTTTTGCTGACAATGTTTGGTCTAATAGTTGCCAAATAATTTGTTGTATAAAAGTTACATATTATACTTCTATCCAATTATTCAAGTCCTTTTTGAAACAAATAGCAAACATTTTTTTGTAAGTGATATTATATTCCTAATTTTGATGAGAAGTTTTGAATTTATTTTAAATTTTATTTAGTTACTAAATTATTTTTTAAATATTTTCAAGAATAATTAAGTTAGTGAAGAGATAAGTTTGAATTAATATTAGTTTATTTAAATGTCTTAATTGTTCTGCTTTAACTATTAGCTCTTCTGCAAAAATCAATTCAAGCAAAAAAAATGCAGTACATAATCTTTTTGTATCAAAATATTTTAATCAAGCTCTTCTTGGTTTGGTAATCTTACTGTTTGTGGCCTTCATTGCACATTTTATATTTTTAGGTGGGAAAAAACATTTTAGTTTTTAAATTTATAATTTATTTTATTATTTTAAAAATTTAAAAGAAATTTTAGTTATTAAAAGTTTTTTTAAACTTTTAAATATTTTCAATTAATTTTAATATAGAATAATATTTATTGTTGTATTTTTTAAAATCTAAACAAGTGAAAATAATTTATCATCAATTTAGTTTGTTAATTTGACATAGGTTATAATCACAATAGCTTACCTGATCTTACAGAAAATGGTGTTTCAAATGCAATTCCTTTTTTTTTGGATGAAAAGGAACATATACCAGCTTGGCGTGTCATAGCATCGAATTCTAAGATAAACTTATCAGAAAATAAATTTTCTCTAAATACTCCTGTTTTTTTAATTCTTCATTCAGGTAGAAGTCAACAGTTTAATAAACTATTAGAACTTTTTCAAGTGCTTTTTTCTTTGGGTTATAATCTTATAATACCAAAGCATCAACTGTACCGGAATGAAGTGTCATATGCATGGAAAAGTATTAAAAAAAGTTATCCTAGTTCAACTGCTTATCTTTGGGGAGAAAATTTAGATTCTAGGTGAGTATTTTTTATGCAAATTTTTGTCATTTTATTTGCTAATTTATTTTTTTTAGACATTGAAATAATTTTTTTTATTTGTTTATAATTTTTAATTGTTTGTAATAATTTTTTTATTTATTATTTTTGCTTATAGGGTATTTTTGTTTAAGAACACTAGTTTATGTTATATATTATATTTCAGTATTCTTTAAAACTTTCTATTTTATTATTATTAGTATTTTATCTGTGTATGCACAAGACTTTTGTTCTGACTGTAAGTTTTTTTTTTTATTTAAGCATTTTTGTTTGCAAATATTTTTTTTGGTTTGTATATTGTTTTTATGGATAAATATGGTTTAAATATTAAGAGTCAAATATGTCTCTTTTTACTTTAATCTATATTAATGTTAATAATAATTTATGATAACTCAACAATTTATGTAAATGTATACTTTCATGTTTACAGTTTACATTAACAGTTATGTAAATATTTACAGTAAAAATGTTAATGCAATAGCGTTAACATTTGTTTATAGTTAAGTTTTTTTTAGGGATGGCTCGTTTACTTACTTTTTTTATTTTATTTACACGAGTAAGTTAATTTTTATCAAAAAGTAAATTACATAGGTAGTTTTGAACATTTAATGTAAATTTATATTTCCATATAAGTAATTAATTATTTGAAACTACTTTTACTTTATAATATAAGTTTTTTTACTTTCAAAAGTAAGTTATGTAAAAAAAGATTACATCAAAAAGTAATTTACTTTTGCATGTAAAAGTAAGTCACATTAAAAAGCTGTTTACTTAAATCAAATTATATTACATATTATAGGTACTGGTTGTATTATTTTAAAATTTTTAAGTTATATTATATTAAAACTATATTACATAATATAGGTACATAATATAGTTCATCAAACTGTAATTTACATTTACCTATAAAAGTAACTAATTTTAAAAAAACATGCATATGAAAATAAATTACATAAAAATAATATGCTACTAAATGTAAATTAAATTTTCAAATAAAATTATATCTAAGTCGGAATTTTTTATTTTAAAAGTAATAACAAAGTATTATCAAAATAAATTTTATAAAATGAAATTTAAATTACATAAGCTTAAGTTTAAAAATCCATTATTGGCATAAATTATGCCAATAATGTAGCCCCCATAATCCAGGACTGGTTTAAACTTGGTTTTTAAATAATAAAAAACTTTTGCGCAAAAAACCTGATAAAAGAACTAACAATTATCATAATTGTTAGTTCTTTTATCAGGTTTTTTGCGCAAAAGTTTTTATTATTTAAAAACCAAGTTTAAACCAGTCCTGGATTATGGGGGCTACAACTCCATTTCCTGCAGATTTAGAAGCTCCAAAGTTTTTAAGAGGATGCTTCATTTTTGTAAGGTTTTTTCACCACTTTAATAAGAAAAAGGCCACCTGCTCAAATTATCCCCAGACGCTGACAGTCTTAATCCGGCACTGGTTTTCAGAGCTACGGTATTTTATTGACATTAAAGATTTAGAACTATTTATGTAAATACCTTTATCTGCGTATAGTGTCAGTAATCTAACTACAGCCAGGCCAGTGTAAGCAGCATTTACTGTCCCTCAAGCAACTAGTCCCAGGGCGGTGAGGTTTAGGAGCCTCAAAATGTATTTAAAGAGTTTTTGTTGTTGTTTTTATTGTAAAAGTTATTGTTCCAGAGAAACAGAAAATAGGTATCTGGGCCACGTATGCCAACTGGCCAATAATAATTTGCTACGCCACTGTGTAGTATACGTATTCGTAACTTGAGCTGTAGCTAAGCAATGATTTATATGTAGATTAAGAAATAACACCTGTGGTGATGGGAGCCTGGATAAAAAAAATACCCTAAAACATTTACCATTCCTACCACAAATGTGAGAGCAACAAATTAGTAACTTTTATTTTTTATTTTCTTAAACTAAATCTAAGTCGACAGGTTTTAAAATTCAAAATTCAGAAGTTATGATTAATTAAGTTTACACCCAAACCAAAAATAGTGGCTGTTTCAACATTTCCCTAAACATTCTAATGTGATATAAACAAGAACATACTTAAGTTTGGCACTTTAGTATATTTTATTTACCAAAAGAATATTTATTAACCAAAAAAAAAAAAAAAGATTTCTCTTTTTCTAAAATAACATACTAAAACAGGAGAATTTGGTATTTCAGCTAATTTTATATTAATTTTTTAGGTATATTCCCCAAAAATACAAAACTATAATTGTCAACTAAAGTAAACTTACTAAACTCAAACTTCCGAAAAACACATGATCATCAATTTGTAATGACAAGTTTTTAAAGTCTTTATTATGTTTGGGTATTTAGGGGCTTAGCAATAAGACTATTTATGCCTTCTTCTTGCCTCCGCCATCTTTAAATTTTACAAGAAAAGTAATTATTCGTAACAGCAAATTTAGAAAAATAAAAAATTATAAAAATTAAAACTGCATTGAAGAATGTCATTATGTTATAAAAAAAACAATAATGATTGACCAAATTAAATATTAAAAAAAATTAATTTGATAATATTGTTTGAAAAATAAAAATTATCTTGTTGGCACTTATAAAAGTCACTTATAAAAACTTAATTTTCTTCTTTATTCTTTGACAAATTTTAACAATGAAGTCTGTGTCATTTGATTACTTATTCACGAAAAAATCTGTACCTCAGAGGTCAACTATTGCAACTCACATTTGACAAATTTTACAGGAGAGCCAAATAAAGTTACTCTACTTCTTTTTCTGTTAAGAAACTTTTTTTATTTTTAAAATATATATTTGAAGTTTTTCATACATTTCAGAATAATATCTTTAATACCACATAAAGACGGTCTCCCTGTGGCAGTTAAGATAAAAGCCTGAAAATCAGCAATTTTGCAGTTACGATAGCTGACCACTGGGGTACAGAAATAGTTAAATTAACTTTTGCTCTTAATTAAAGATAATATTTTAAATCCCCTAAATGATTGGGGAGGTTGCTTAAAATTTATATGGTCATAATTTTTGAACACTAAGATATTATTGCATGACATAAACTTGTTGCTCTCATGCTTATGGCATGAAAGGGAGGTAAACATTTTAGGGGTTCATTGTTAACAGACTCCGATTATCGCAATACTTTTGAAAGGCTTTACATAAACATGAATATATAAATGTTTGGAGTTTGCTCCATGTCATTACATAAAGTTAAATTCTTAAAAAGAAAAAAAAAAAAAAGCTTACTACAGGCCTGGTTTTAAATATGTGGTTGGAATCTGGTTGTTAAAATATTGTGGTTTGCGCTTTTGTTAACTTTTTTACTTTAAATTTTTGAAAATTTAAAGTAAAAAAAAGAAATAAAATCTACTGAAAAAAAAAGAACTTGATGTTATTTCATCTATATGATGAAATAACATCAAGACACTTTTCTTTACAATCGACCATACAATTTTAAATTTAACAGTTTGCTTTTTGGAACCAGCCTGCTAAATTCTCTATATTAATTAAATTAAAATAAGCAGCTGTTGTGGTTATGAAAAGTTATACTTTTTTTTTTTTTAATTTGATTACTTTTACTTTTTTAACTTTAATTTTTTTTTTAATTTTACTTTTAAATAATCTTGATGTTATTTACATCAGTTATTTAAAAGTTTTTTTTTAAAAAGCCTGTCTGGTTTATTGTTCTTGCTTTGGAAATGGCTCTGCATTTTGCAATTTTATTCTAAGTTTTGTATTTTGGCTTTTTTTATTTAGCATGGTTGTTATTAAAAACTAATCCAACCAAAATGAAAGGTTTTTTCTAGAAATAACTTTCTGGAAAGTTATTTCTGGAAATAATTAACTGGAATAATTTTTGTCTGGAATAGACTAATTGAAATTAGTTCATTCCAGACAACAGTTTTATGAATAGATATTAATAAATAACAAAAAAAATAAATGATTTTCATTTCTGTTAGAGTGGTTATATTACCCCCTCCCCCCAAAGCTGTTAATATGCATTTGAGTTAGCACATTTGTACATTTAGCATTTCAGTTGGCAAGTTTTAAAGTATAGTTGGCAAATGTCAAATATCAAAGACCTTTTTTGTGTGTGTGAGTGTGTGTGTCTTTTGTTGACAAAAAACACATACAACACCCTCCCCATGAGAGACCTCTTCAAGGTGGCCCTGACAATGACCAAGCTGAATAAGAAAACCAAAATGAAGCAGTATAGCTACAAATATGTCTGACTCTTTTACAGTAAACTTTTATCAAGGTCACTAACTTTTATCAAGGTCACTAACTTTTTTTCTTCCAACAAAAAAATTATTACTAAAACAAATAAATCAAAAAAAAGCTTTTTCAGAGCTTTTTTGCAAAAAATATTTCTTTCAAAAAAGTTATAAACCCCAACTTTAAAGTAAAACAAAATATTAGAGAAAAAAAATAAGGATACAGCCCCCCTTCCCCAGGAAACAAATTTAACATGCATGTTCATTGGCACTACACAAATGCTGTCAAGATAAAGTAAAATCAAAGTAAAGTCTGAAAATTTAAGTAAAATCAAAATAAAAAAAGAGATTTAAAAAAGTGGGGTTCTCCAGTTGGCTCTGAAAACAATTTTAACATGTACGTTTATCAAATTTACACAGAGGATGAAAGTTTCAGAGCTCTAGCTAGTCTGGAAGGTAGTGAAAAATCAATCGCAAGATTCTGGGACAACTGATATCCGACAAACAACTTGTAAATTCAAATAAGGTTTGAAAAAAATTACAAGTTTATTCTAAAGCACTATTTTAATTGAATAAGATTTTATTTTTCTAATCTTCCCACAACCCACAACCTGTGGTAAAAGATTGATCAGCTTTTATCTCTTTTCAAATATACGATAAAAAGATTATTTAAACACTTCTTTAATCATATAAATTATCAGATAGTTTAAATCACTTATAATTTTTTGAAAACTGTTTTACTAGTCAATGTCCTTGCGGATACCAAAAATGTTACATTGCGTCATATTACCAAAAGAAAATACTTGATTGAAAAGGCAAATACAAAGAAAAAAAACTGGAGAAAAAGTGTGTTCCAACGAAAAGTGGCTTTTTATTTAGCAGCCCCTATTAGCACTCATGCGGCAGGGAGCCTGTTGCTACACAACCTGCATATACCTACATGGTGACTATATTTGTCCCTAATTATAATAGAATTACCCTTTATGATATATGAAAAAAAAAATCCTTTCCCGATGACCCACCACAAACACTAGCCACATACATCAGAGTATTACCTGAAGTATTACCCAGAAGTGCCCTCAAATAGGTATAGGATTTGAATACGCTACTTATCTCAAAGTTTATGTTAAATCAACATGAAATGACTGTTCTTTGAGAAAGTTAATAATATAACTTACATTTTACTTACTTACAAAGTAAAGTATAAAAGTTCAAAAACAATATTTATTTTTATTTGTAGATGTAAATTACAATTTTTTTCAAATTACTTTTATTTAAGCTGTTTTGCTAATTAGTTACTTTTGCACGTAAAAGTAATTTGTTGTTATGATCTACTTTTATTTTAATTTGTAAAGTAAGTGTTATGTTTTTTAAATATTATATTTACATAAGTTTACTTCATAAATAACTTTTTTTACATATAAAAAGTAAATTACATTTCGATGTAAATTTTTTACATAACTATAACCAAAAATACTTTTCAAAGAAAATTACTTTACACGACTTTCCATTAAAAGTAAGTTATATTTACAAGTAAAAGTAAAAGTGCAAGTTACTTTTGCTTGTAAAAGCAAAATGATTTTTTCAAGTAACAGTTATTCGTTTAAAAAACTTAACAAGTAACAGTCACTCATTTAAAAAACTTAACAAGTAACAGTTACTCACTTAAAAAACTTAACAAGTAACAGTTACTCATTAAAAAAACTTAACAAGTAACAGTTACTCATTTAAAAAACTTAACAAGTAACAGTTACTCGTTTAAAAAACTTAACAAGTAACAGTTACTCATTTAAAAAACTTAACAAGTAACAGTTACTCATTTAATAAACTTAACAAGTAACAGTTACTCATTTAAAAAACTTGACAAGTAACAGTTATTCATTTAAAAAACTTAACAAGTAACAGTTACTCATTTAAAAAACTTAACAAGTAACAGTTACTCATTTAAAAAACTTAACAAGTAACAGTCACTCATTTAAAAAACTTAACAAGTAACAGTTACTCACTTAAAAAACTTAACAAGTAACAGTTACTCATTAAAAAAACTTAACAAGTAACAGTTACTCATTTAAAAAACTTAACAGTAACAGTTACTCGTTTAAAAAACTTAACAAGTAACAGTTACTTGTTTAAAAAACTTAACAAGTAACAGTTACTCATTTAATAAACTTAACAAGTAACAGTTACTCATTTAAAAAACTTAACAAGTAACAGTTACTCATTTAAAAAACTTAACAAGTAACAGTTACTCATTTAAAAAACTTAACAAGTAACAGTTACTCATTTAAAAAACTTAACAAGTAACAGTTATTCATTTAAAAAACTTAACAAGTAACAGTTACTCATTTAAAAAACTTAACAAGTAACAGTTACTCATTTAAAAAACTTAACAAGTAACAGTTACCCATTTAAAAAACTTAAATAATTAAGTTTTACATGTTATATAATTTATATAAAACAAAAATTTACATCAAAATAAGTAAAGGTGTCATCCCTACCGGTAAATAGTATCTAATGGTTATCAGTGTTGAGAAAATGTTACTAAAAACATATTACTGTGAATAGATATATAAATTAATTAGCATTAATAATGTAAAATGTAATACAAATAATGTAAAGTTTTAAATCAAAATATTGATTTTATTCGATAAAGTTGTTGTGGTTTTTATAAAACATTTTAGATAATATTACTCAAAAATACATTTTAGCATTGCCTATGTCTGGTATTGTCGTAAGTGCTGAAGATGTAATTTCTAAGGTAAATATTTTTCATTCATTCAGTTCTTTTTAGTATTAGTTAGTGATCGACTGAAACTAATATTTTACAGGAACCGGAATAATATATAATGTTTTTTCATTTAAATAAAATATTAAATTATTAAAAGTAACTAATAACAGAATCCAACAGCTGAAAGATTTACTCGACAAAAAAGAAGTTTTTTCCAAATTCAACATCTGTAAATGTTGGAGGTGGTGTAAGGTACTTTTTTGCCACCTTAGTCAACGCTAACTTGATTTTGAAATTTGCATTTTTTTCGTAGCTTTTTCAAAACTCAAGGCATTAAAAAGCCATTGGACTACCCAAAAAATCATTCAACGGTTCTTTTATTATTTTGGAAGATGTGGTTTGTCGTGCATTTGGTCCTATTTGAGTTGAGATTACACAATAATTTTTGACATAAACAAAGGATTTGTTTTTTTCATTGTCGCCAGATAGAATTTGAGTTGCAGGAGCCTATTCATCTATAGGTTCAAAATTGTCTTTTTGAGACATGACAATGTGTTTAGCATTTTGCAAAGCACCTTGAGATCTGAAAAAATACCATTTGTATCTTGGATCGAGTAGAGTAGCAACTGAACAATGTTCTGTTTTTTTAATTGCATTTTTTTCAGAATTATTGAAGAAGCTTGAACCAAGTTTGGAATAGAAGATTTTAACGTCAATCCTTCTTTTTTTTTTGATCGTATATTGAAGATTGGACCTGTTTTTCTCTTGTTTAATTTAAATTCAGCTTCTTTGTTGGCTTTTGTATTTCATGAACATTCTGGCGTAAGTTTGTCAGGATGATAGTTCTTCAGGTCCATATAATCCTTATTTTTTGGGGTCGTCTGATCCTCTTGACACTTTGCCGTTGCATATTTTGCACTAAACTATTCTAGGATTGTTTGCTTCAATTATGAAGTATTTCCATGCTAAACGTGTTTTTCTTTTTGAATTCATTTTATTAGAATGAAATATAAGTATATAAATCTGTTGCGCTAAACTTAAGAGTCGATTGAAGAGAAACAATAGATAATTTAACACTTTATAGATTATATAAAATTAGGATAAAAGTTAGATTTTTTTAACTAATTGTAATATTTATTATATATATATCTATTTATATAAAAGTTATACTCATAACAACAATATTATCTTTCAAATAATAACGATAAAAAACTTTAGAAGATCTGAATATTAATTTAAACGAGAAAACTATTTTGTTTACAAACATAGCAAAAAAAAATTTTTCCGTTAATTCTCAAGTTTATTATTTAATTTAAAAAACTTTTTTTTTAAATAATTTTATCAAAATGATAATGCATTAAGAAAGCATTTAAATAATCATTCTCGGTAGCATTTTGAACCGAAATTCCTGTCGGAACCGAAATCTTAAATAATACCGGAACAGGAACATAATTTTGGTCGATCACTAGTATTAGTGCAGTATTTTTCTTTTTAGTATTATTTTCAGTAGTACAGTATTTTTTAGAAGTATTTTTCTTTTTAGTTCTTTTCAGTATTAGTACAGTATTTTTTCTTTCTTTAATGATAACAGATTATATTTTTAATTAAATTTACCTAGAATGAAAAGTTGAAAATTTGGTCTTGTAATTGTACTCTTGTGAATTCAGATGGAATTTATCATAAATTCAACAGTGTGTTTTGCCCATTGAAATGGAAGCCTCGCGAATCTTTCTATGAAAGTGTAATTTTTTGTCTACAGGCACTCCATTTATAATAAAATTTTACGATCTAGATTTTTTTAATTTCAAATAGCCATTTTGTGTTTATTTAACATATATTTATAAATAAATTCCTATTAATTCATTTTTATGCATTTTTACTCTCTGTTTGTTTTTGTCTGTAGTGATAACTAGCAACAATCTGTAAAATTTATAGTTAACCTCATCTGACAGGAGCAAAAAAAATCTTTTTGTATAAGAGGATTATATTAACTTTATGACATTTACATGTGTTTCTTTTAGTTTGTTTAATATATTTTCTTTGATTTAAACAACCCTCTCCTCGATGACCTCCCTGAAACAACCCTCTCCTCGATCGAGGGAGTCGCAAAGTTTGTGTGTTTACTTCTTCAAAATTCCAAACTATTTTTTGATGATCAAAATATTTGAATTCTATCGATAAAATTTGATTTTATTGAAGATAATGAAGAAATTTTTTTAAATATTATTTCCCATACACAGGGTCTAGAAATATATTTTTATTATATTTTTACTCTAAAAAATTCCCGTTCTGTTCTTGATGTTAACACTTTGTATGAAAAATTACAAACTGAAAATTGTATGTTGTTCTGTAAAACAGCTAGCTGTTTTTAAAGAACAACATACAAGCTGCAGCTCAACGAGAAAATTTTTTGCTTGTTTTAATGAAGAGTTTTGGCTTTGGAAAAAGTCTACATTTTTGAGTATAAATGTAGTTTTGAACATATAATTATGAAATACGCGTTATTAAGTTTCTCGTTTTGTAATGCGTGCAAGTGGAAATCCTTTATGTTTTTGGTTTATCTCTTTTACTCATTTTAAGTTTCGGAAAATAGATTAAGGAGGAGGGTTATAGCCCTAGGCAACACAGTTTTTGGGGCCCTGATTCGAAACAAAAGGTTTTTTAAAAGAAACTTTGAATATAAAATATTTTATTAATGACATGAAAAGGGGCCTCTTGCTTTAAAATAGCCCCGGGCCTCAAAAAGTCTTCATCCGCCACTGCCTATGACAAACAGTTTCGAGAAAACTCAATTTTATAAAAATAATTGCAACAGCAGCAAAAACTATTACAAAATAACAACGATAAATATTGATAATAAATTACAGCAACAAAAAAAGACTTTGACACGAGCTGATATTTATGTATCTTTCAAAGGTACATGAAATGAGGATACCACTGAGCAAAGTCATTTCTGTCATCTCGACTATTAGTAGAAATATGCTGAATGTTGATACGATATCCAGATATTGTAAAGGTTGTTGTGTAACTCAAGGCCAGAGGTGGAAAAAGTGGCAAAGTTTTATATTCAAGTAAAAGTACTGTTACTTGAGTGAATTTCGCTCAAGTACAAGTAAACGTCACCAGTCGAAAAATTTGCTCAAGTAAAAGTAAAAAGTAACTTATTAAAAATTACTCTGAGGTAAAGTTACTTTTTTAACAGCTTTTTAAATTTCCTTTTAAAATTATTTTTAAAATTTTTTCTTCAAAACTCAAATGAGAAACGTCAGCAGTGCACGTGTTTGATATCTTTATAAGGCAGTGTCCGTAATTTACATTACGCAATTTTTGACTTGAATTTTTTAATACCAAAGAAATATTACTTTAAATTTTCTTATCTGCTTTTAGTTGACTAATTAATACATTTCAATACGTGTAAATTTTAATTGTTGTTAATTAATATTACTATTAAAATCATTATTACTACAAATAACTACCCTTCAGTAAAAATATTATTTGCACGTAAAAGATATTGTAAATTTATGCATTGACGTAGAGCCGTGGATTCTAATTAGGAGGAGTAGATGACTAGGGAGCGGGTTTAATTCTCCTTTTTTTTTTTTTTTTTTTTTTTTTTGATTTTTATATTTATTTTGAAGTAGCTTTATGTGTTTTAATTATTATTGTTGTTTATTAACAGTAATATTTGTTTATTGTTTATATTTTTTAAAATGTTACAGAATAAGTGTTTCAATGCGTACAAGTAAGCAGTGACTTAACAGGAAATAACCACCGAAGATAATAATTTTTTGATAAAAATTTAATATCTTTCTGTTTGAAATCTTATATAATTAACAAGCTCATTAATAAGATGGTTTAGTAGAGGTAAAGTGATAGAGAGCTTAAAATAATCAGATAATGAGTGATTATCATGATTGATTTGCTTTCCACATTTTCTAGTTTTTTATTTTCTTTCACATTTAAAGTCATAGCAAATTCAAAAGCAATATTAGACCAGTTGTAGCAATATAGATCAATACCAAATTTAATCTCTTGAAGTGTGTTTTTTTAATTGTCAATTTCAAAATTATGAAATTTGAGACATGTCGTATTGCTTATTTTGGAGCCTAATTACAATCTAAAAAATTCAATGCATCAAATTTTGGTTAAAACTAAAGTTACATTGAAATAAGATTCAAACATCAACTATGAAGAGATTTTTGCTAAAAAAAAAAAAGTCTAGACTTCTGTTTTTAAACCCAACAAGTAAAACAGAGATTGATTAGCTTTTCTTTACGAGCAGAAAGATAATTATTTAAACATGCCTGTAATTTTCGACTAAGGGCACATTAAAATAACTAAGGACAGTCAACAAACCTTAAGAAATCTTTATGAATATTATAGTTATTGTCTATATATCTTATAATGATAGACTACTGTTTAAGATTGGCGCAATCAGATGCTTTATCAGCTAAAATAGAATAGTATTTACTATTATTGATTTCAGAAATAAGAATCTTCTCAAAAGCCTCACTGCAACACTCCATAAATTGATTTTGTGTCGTTTAAGAAATAATGTGACATTTTTAGGGGCTGATATTAAATGATCTTATAAGTATCACCTGCATAAATTCCAAAATTAAGTAGTTCGAAAATATTTTTTTCAAATCTTTCTTGAGGACTCTCTTATATTATAGTCTCCAATATTGTATTATATTTGATTCTAATTTACAATAAAATCAACTTATAAGATCCTCGTTAATTAAAGCTTCAATTTGAAGATTAAAGTTTTTTTTTGAAGAAATAAAAATGTAATATTTTAATTATTTACATTTATAGCAAAAAACAATAAAAATTGTTTATATAGCTCTGTGGCAAAACTATTATTTATAGTATTTACCTGTTTAATAAAATAATAATGTTTTAGTTAAATGTTATAAGAATTTTAAAACAATAAGCACAGAAACAGTTGTATATAAGTAAACTAGTTACAGTTATAAAAAGCTACTTATTTTTATTACAAATTAGTCGGTGAAAACATAGATAAAAATGTAACTTAAATCTACAGAAGTTTTGTCAAAACCTTGATTTATTTTAAAATATGGCATTAAAACATTTATATCAGGGTATTTTCAAGCCAAAAGTTTAACTCCGAAACTAAACTGATGAGATATTCAAACCATTTCGTTTTGTAAACAATTTTTTTCGCAACATTTAATGTTATGAATGTGAATCAATAGCATTTGGAACAATTTTTTTCAAAACATATCCACCATAATTACCAACTTACTAAGAAAATAATAAAGGCGCTTTGCTTATTTGAAAATAGCTGGGTATCAAAAGACTGGGAAATAAGTACAGCCACAAGGCAAAAACCACTCTAGCCACGGGCTACGAGTGTTGACGGCATACTTTTGAATGAAAATATATTACGTTAAAAAAAAAACAATCATTTAGTCAGCTTTTGCCGTAAAATCAGGTCGTTTGTAGCTTAGCCACAAATCGATATGCAATGACCGATCTTTTTTTAATTCCGGTTTTTTTGTTTTTTTTTATTTTTTTTATTTAATATATATTTGCTGTTTATATAATAAGAAATATAATTACAAAGAAACGTTTACATACAAAAAAAAAGTGAATTTATAATAAACAGGCAGGGGCTCAAAGAAGATGCGGATGACTAAAGTCACCACAATCTTTTCATAGAGCCCCTAGGTGGGCTTTACAAGTTAAAAAAAATAGTATCTCCAATATAATAAAAAGGTTAAAGCTTGCATAAATATTTCCATTAAATCAAGAAAGTAAATAACATCATATAGTTTTATCAATATTCATTAAAATATATTGGCAACTCTGTTAAGTATCAAAATAAGAGCCAATTAACAAGTAAAAAAACTAAGAATAATGGAACTCGTTTTTCATTTCGAAAAATCAAGAAAACTATTTATCTAATTTAAAAATTTCATTTTTTATTATAAACTCAAAGAAATTTAATGATTTTACAGTATTTAAATTTTTTATTTTTTTAAAAGTGTTCCATAGTTTTGGTCATATTCAGAATACTTACTATTAATTCTTGGTAATTTATAAGTATTCCATTGGTTTATTCTAAGAGAATTTTTTTGTTTACATTTATTGTAAATTTATCATTAAAGTTTTTTGGAATCAAGCTGTTGTTACATTACATAAAAATTATTTACCAACACCTTATTTTTATGTATTACATACATAAAAATTAGGTGTTGGTAAATGTTGATTTCATATATATTCATCATTTTCATGTTTTCCATTAATGGTTTTGCATGTTCATATTTTTTTTATAAATATAAGTCTGCATGCATGTTTTTGTAAAGAAAATATTTTTTTAAGTTTTGTTGGTCGAGTACTAGCCCATGTGATATTGGCATAGTATATGAAACAATGTATTAGGCCAAAATATACTAATTTTAGACTTTCTGATGTTACATATGGACAAATACGGTACATTAGACCAATTGTTTTACTAATTTTTGATTGAATATAATTAATATGGGGAAGCCATGATAAATTTTCATCAGTAAGAATTCCCAAGAATTTTATTGAATCATTTTTACTAATTAGTACATCATTTAAAATCAAATCAGGTAATTTTAAAGGAAGTTTTTCATCTTGTGATTTTTTATGAAATAAAGTATATTTTGTTTTATCTACATTTAGTGAAAGTTTATTTGCCTTAAACCATTCATCTACATTCATTAGTTCAGAGTTCACGTCAGAATACAGTTGATTAATGTCACAGTTTGAAAGGAAGAGATTTGTGTCGTCAGCAAACATTATTGAGTTAAGCTTAGCTGATGCATTATTAAAATCATTTACATAAATCAAGAAAAGCAATGGACCAAGAATTGACCCTTGCGGAACTCCACACAAAATATTAAGTTGACCTGATTCCTTACTAATAACATATTGTTTTCTCTCAGTGAGGTAGCTTTTTAACCAATTATAGGTTTTATTTATCACTCCATAGTGTTTTATTTTTTCCAAAAGAATTAGGTGATCAAC